GCGCGACCACCATGTGCACGGTTGCTTTCAGCTCCTTAACTTGGCTCACGCTCACACCGCGATCGAGAATCTCCGCACATGCCACGCGATGAACCATGAACCAGCGGCCGGGTACGCGCGGGTAGGGCCTGTTCCCACGCCGGCTGCTCGGTTAGTTAGCGGCCGCCCGGGCCCAGCACGACGAAGGGGCCGGGGAGTAGTTTAGATCTCGCTTCTGCGGAGCATGCGCGCGATCAGTGCCCAGTGGATCATATACCATATGGCTCACTATCACCTCGATCGGCAATGCAGATACTACTATTATGCAGCTGATTTAATTTATTCGGAATGCGGACTGATGAGCACGTAAAGATGCCCTCCTGTTTGACTCTGGTGTACGTAAGCCCGTGGCACTCTTCTTTCATTATTGTATTATCAGTCACTCGCCGATTAATTCTGAATGGTACGCCCCCCTCAGGGAGATATTTGTTCGCTTTGTTGTACCACTCTTGTGCTTTTGTTTTTGGAATATTCGGTAAACATAGCATGCACTCAACGAAAAACTACTACAACTGTTACTCTGCCGTGCGCTTACCTGTTAAACTTAGGGGCTTGCTAAATCATACTATTTTGTCTTTTCCAAATTACAATTTGTCTGGCTGTGTGTTGCAACTTCTTAAATATTAACAAAACTTTTAGGAAAATGCACAAACATCTAGAATATCAAATTAGATGCAGATGTCAACAAATTTTTTTTTTTCAAAAAAATGCTTAAATTTAGGGGAAAAAGAGAGAGCAAAACCAAAATGAACTATAAGACTATATGATTCAGAACAAAAAGAGAAAGGTGGTTGTTCTCATCCTCCCTACACCTTAATTTCTTCCTCCTCCCAATGCCTGTGATTCCTCATCCCACAAGATCCAATCTATATTCTCTATCTTTGATAAGCTCCATGAAAGTCGATGAACTCACATTTGGGTTGGGTTGGGCTACTGGGGATTTTAGGGGTCCGTGTGCTCCATTAATGTCTTTGCTTTTCAAACTCTTTGGAACAAAGGGATGGCTAGGAGAATGGGTTACTTGACATTGGAGGTAGCTGGTGGATCGGTGTGCATCGAGGTGGTGGAGGGTGTTTGGCGGATAGGGTTGGGACAGGAACAGAGCTCGTTGCAATGGGTTTGTAGGGAGTTGTAGTCAAGCGATCGATAAAACCCACTAGAGACAAGGTGCAGGAGGTGAAGCAGGTGCGATATCGTCAAAAGAACTCTTCGTAGGTTCCAGTTATGGTGAGAACGAAGGAAGATAAACCCATGTTGCTATTTATTAGATTTAGGACGTTAGGGGAAGGTAAAACAGTTGGGTATGCATGGCTAAGGTTTTAAATAGCAAGCTTAGGTATTTATTAGTAGTGGCATCCTCTAGAAGATATGAAAATCTATAGTTGGATCAAATTTTCCCTGAACACTAAACATTAAACAATTGATTACCTACAATTTAGTCATTATTTAGCTAGCCTAACGGTCTATGAAGTGGGCTAAACGGCTAATCAAACGGGATGAACGACCGATTAAACCAAAATGGTGTACCACCATGTAGCGTTTACATGGTGTTAAACTGTCTAAATGAACGTTTAGACAAACAGTGAGCAAGATATAACAAAAACTATTTCATTTAGTGGGTTTTTAAAAAACATGGAAATTTTCAATTAGTCGCATGGAAATAAGAAATTTTATTGACATAGATACTCAAGAATGCATATCTAAGGCTATAGGTCACATATCTCTATGTCTTCATAGTCTTTCAATCAATTAACCTACTAGCAGCTATAATCACATTCTATTTATTCAACATCCAACAAGCAACAAACTCAACATTTACTCAATAGTTTTAACAAACAAAATAGAAGAAGCCTATATTCTAGTCATCTCGAGTAGATAATAACAATTTTTCATAGTTAGGATCTGACATGCTAAAAAGTTTTAGCTAAGCCAAATATTGGTGTTTAGTTGAGCTAGGCATTGTTAGCTCCAATAATAGAACAATTGGTAACATCATAGCGATAAGCCATCTAAAAATCTTATAGTGGGCTATTTAGAAGCATGATATGTGTTTCATAAATCCTAATTAACTCAATGGAACGGAAAAAGATCTTGTCTCGCAAAACTTCCACCAGAAAGTTTACATATATGTGCCCCTGTTCGTGCATCTAGGCTTATATGTGTCTAAAGCCAGGAGACACCGAATCTCTAGCGATAACAAGATTGTAGCAACTTAGTTGCACTCATAGCAGTGCTGCCGCGGCCGCCACGCCGCTGATGCTGCTGTTGCTGGTGTGTCGGTTGTAAGAGTAGAATATTGTAGCATGGCTAGCTAGTAATAACCGAACATGCTTGTTGGCGCGAACATACTTTTTTTCGACTCTGTTCGGTTCGGAACTAACGAGACTGAGAGATAAGGAAGGGGCATTTTAGTCTTTCACTAGTGGACCCACATAGCTATTCATGGTACAGGCTGACGGAATGAACGGAAGTGCTAGATAAGGAAAAAAAATTCAGTAGCGCACAGATAGGGAAGTTCTGAACTTTGGGTGCTAAATAAGGAAGAAGAAGTTTTTGGGTGCTAGATAGGGAATTTTCTCCTTTTTGTTTTTGATGACCAAGTCGGCAGGGGTAAAAGCAGAACACGTGTCATGGCCAGGTGGCCGGCAGTAATCGACGTACCCAATCGATGTGTAGTTTGTGTTTTATTCCGGAAGTAATCTAGATCCATATGAAAAGACATATTGCCCGGACTGCACGTGTACTCGTCGACAGGCTTAAACACATATGATGCCAGGCTGATTATCGACTTTAATCACTACGTACTACGAGTATCCAGTTGAGAAATCAAGCCGGCCGGGTGTATATGTAGACAACTAAGTTAGAGTATTGATGATTCTTCTTCTGTAAAGCACTTTCATTAATAATGAGAGAGAGAGAGAGAGAGAGAGAGAGAGTACACCAATCAGTTCAGTTGTTGCGACATTCAAAGTCCCTGCACAATTGTCTGCTTTCCTGGATGGACCTGCACATGTCTGGTCTCCAGGATGCCAAGCCAGCATTTCAACAACAAAGGAAAATTAATCAATCTGTAGAGCTAACAAAAAAGGTTGTTAGCAACGGGAAAGAGAGAGAATAGGGTATCAAACGCATATTGTGTTGTGTCTACGGACTACGATAGTATCAAATGCAGAGTACCGTGTAGCTTCCTAAGTTTTTTTTTGACCTCAATGACTAAAGTATATCGATTGAACACACAATATTGATGTTCAAGGAACATGTTTTCATAATATTTGACTCTATTTAAGGCAATACTCCTATGTTCTTATATGATTGTCTAGTCAATGTTTGAGTTGTACTGTGTAATTCTAAAAAAAAAAACTATAGTGCGTACTAATGTCCTAAGGACTAAACAAAGGGACAACTTGAGTAGTCTAATAAGTTGAATCCTCTATTCCAAATTATAAGTCGACTTTTCTAGAAACATAATTTTATGGATATTATGTCATTTGGGGAAATTGCCTATCCTACAAACATGCTTCGATGTCACCCCATGACCTCCCTCACCATGCATCAGCTATATACTCGGTAATAACGGAGACCTAAGATTAAACAATATATAGCCTCTCTTAGGGTTTGTTTAGATCCGATCCTCTAAACTTTAGACCTCTAAACTTTAGAGCTAAAGTCTCCAAACAGGTTGTTTAAATTTAGTTCTAAACATGAGTCTACCGCACATTAGAGCTTTAGATAACAAAACTGAGGTAAAGTGCTAACAATAAATATAATCATCAGGTGGGGATTCGCCCCCTCTCCCCCATGGGTCGATCTATGTAAAAAAGCTAAAATGCTCTAAAGTTTATAGGAGTGGATCTAAACAGGCCCTTAAATGGTGACGTGTCTGGCGGGTCAATTGTTTTTTTCTAAGTGATTAATTATGCAGGAGAAACGTATCTTTTTCCATGGTTGTTTGAAAAAAGGTGACGTGTCTCACCATTGTGACACTACGTCTATCCTAAAATCAACGCAATTGTAGTTAGTTAAACCATTTAAAGTCTGATCAATCTTATACTCTTATAAAGCAAAACCTCACTAGCAATTTTTCTTAACATGCAAGGTGTCCACCTCAGCAGTCCACTATTACTTGCAATTGAAGTTCACTAGCATAAGCAATTATGATATCTACGTCAGCGAGACACATCATCCACTAACATACATTTAGTTGTCCATATCAGCGTGCCACACTATCCACTAACATTAGTTTATAATAGTTAATCTCCTCCTAAGAATTGTATGAATAGTTAAATTTTATTCCAAATCAGTAGTTCCCGCATTCTTCTAATTTTATAGAAGAGAAAAATCAATATTTATGACACAAAATAGATATACGATGAAAATATATATTCCATTATTATGAATCTGATGTCATTTATTTGACATCGTAATTTTTTATATACTTTTGTATATAAACTTGATCAAATTAAAATGCTTTACAAGTCAGTAGGAGTATATCCATAGTCTTTGTAACCAGCAGGGGCACGTCTCTACTTTTAAGTGATTGATTGATTCTCTCGCGTTTTAAGTGGTTGCGGCTTCAAGCTATTTAGCTGTAGTTCTAGGTAACTGAGAAAACCGGAATACAAACCATTCACTTCATTCATTTTTTCTGAATTCTGCAAGGTTTGCAAATGTACACAAATTCAAAACTCACAACTTGATGCATTGGCGCGCAACATTGGTCGCGCAGCACTAGCTTCTCTCTTTGCTTTCCACAACCACAACAGCACAACAGAGACCGACAAGGAAGAAATAAAATTACAGCACCACCATTCACACATCACTAGGGGAATGCAGAGGCCGTGTGGAGGGAGGGAAGAACTCCATTCCCTTCTTCAACCTCCTCCTCTTCTGACACTGCCTCTCGCGAAACCCGGATGCACATTTCCTGCCTTGCTCTGCTCCATTAACAGTAATTCAAGGCCTCAGGGGTAGTTGACCAAGGAACGGTAGGTCTTCCCGGGCGTCCACGCGGCTGGGATGGCGTTGTTGGCGACGAGCACCCTGCCGGAGTCGGAGGTGAGCCGGAGCCCGAACGGCGCTCTGAGCCTCCTGCCGTTGTTGAGGCGCCACGTGGCGCCCCAGTTGTGCGCCATGGGCGTCCACACGCTGCTGCCGGCCTCCATCAGGTCGACGGCTCTGAGGTCGCCGTCGTCGTCCTCGAACTCGATCAGCACGTTGAAGTAGAAGGGGTTGGCGCCCTGGTCCACTTTGAACGCGACGTTCACGCCGGGGTACTTGCACGGCACCCTCCTGTACTGGATCCTCACGACGCCGCCGGCGCGGACCTTGTCGGCCATGCCGGGGCCAGGCTTCGCCATGGCGCCCATGGCCGTGCCGCTCATGTCGAAGTGCGCGACCTCGCCGGGGAACAGCCCGCCCGGGGACAGGTCGGTGATGACGATGGTCACCGGCTGTCCCGAGCAGGCCGCGTTGCTCGTGCATTTCACCTCGTAGCAGGCGCCGCAGCCCTCGCCTCCCCTGTACAGCGGCGCGCTCCCGGCGGCGATCATCGAGTCGAACGGCTGCTTCCCGACGGCAGTCTGGTACCCGCACGCGCCGCCTGCACGTATTCACAATTAATTAATTTCAACTACATCAATTATTAATCCAATGCACGTTACATATATAGTTACATAATTAAGTACTTTGGCATCGACATGAACACAAGCAAAATGGCATGTCACTAACCTTCACCGCCGTCGCCGTTAGGGGCGCCGTAGTACGTGGCGCCGGCGCCGGACAGCCAGCCGCCGGAGCCATAGACGGTGGAGGGCGACGAAGGGGTAGCGGTGTGGTTGGTGTGGGACTTGGCTGCGGTGGCCGGCTTGTGGCTACCCTTGACAGCAGGCGCTGCCGCGGCCGGCTTGTGGATGGCTCTGGCTGCAGGCGCCTGCCTGTGGCTGACCGGCTTAGTCTTGGGCTTGGGCTTGCTGAGCTTGCGGGTGCTGCAAGCAATGGGGCTAACTAGAAGTGAGAGCACCACCCCTGCAGCCAGCAGTAATGTGCATAGCTTCGCCGCCATTGTTCTGTTGAGCTAGCTAGATAAGAGATCTGCTGAGCTAGCTCGATTGTTCTGTTGCAGCAGTGGGCACGAGAGGGGTATTTATAGGGCACTTTGGGGACGATTCTAACCGGTCGATTGAAATTATTGGGGAGAACGTGACTGGTTGGTGTGCAGTGGAAAAAGTCCAGGCCAACCACCGCTTTAGTTTCTACTAATAAGCACGAGTAGGGAAATTTAATATGCAAGTGCGTACTGGTAGGCGAATGCCCTTCCAGTAGTTCGGGGCTTAGAGCTGAAAACATTATTGTACAATGCAAGTTGCGTACTATTAGCATGCATAGAAGTATATAACAGTGCCTAAAGAGAATGACATATCAGCCATGGAACAGTGTTGTCCTATCACAATAAATTAGCGAACAGTACTTTTCAGCCTGACTTTCCAGTGAAACGAACATGGCCTGAGTACAATTTAGAACGGAGGGAGTAGTAGCTAAAATAATGTAAAAAAACGATTCACAAACCGGAGTTTAAAAGTAGTTACAATTAGTTTAAGAATTTGATTATCGGTATGCAAGGATGGCAGCGGGGCGAGTTCGGGTTGGATATTAGCGCATTTCGGGTCCAGCAGTTTTGGTTTTGGGACATGTTTGCACCCACGGATTTTTGGTTCTAATACCCGAAAGGTTACAGGTTTGGGGCGGATCCTCATCTTCACCCGCGGATCACCATCGGATCCCCGAAAACATTGAGCCCACTAGCAGCCCATCTAATAACCCTACGTATATAAGCCAGTCAAAACTCCCATTCACCCCCCAACTCCTTGGTCCCTCACAGCCGCTCGCTCCTCACGGTCTCTCTCGCAGAGTCGCAGTCTCGCTCACTCCACCCAACCTGACCTAGCGCCGGCAGTCAGCAGAGGAGGGACGCAGATTCAGTGGAGCAGGGGTCGACACTAGCGCCACCCCACCGGATCCACCTGTCGGCCACCAACAGAGGAGTAGCGGCCGGGCGCCAGCCACCCCACCTAGCAGCTTCAGCCCCGTAGAGAGTTGCAAGGGTTTGCATGCCCAGGAGCTGGCTACACCGTGGTGTGCACGCGGTGCGCGCCCAGCACTCCAGCAAGGGCCGGCTGCCGGGAGCTGAGGTGGGCAGGCCGCAGGCGGCGACGCGGCGCCCCCAGGCCCAGCCGCAGTTCCACGACGACCAAGAGGCGGACGGTAGCACACATGGTTTCGGCTTTGGATAATCCGTCGGGTTTTGGCGATCCGCGGGTTTCGATTTCGAGGCGAGATTTCCACCCGAATTGGTCTTCGGGGCCGGTTCGGGTTTTCAGTTCGGGTTTCGGTTTTGGGTGCCCAGAGACTCCATCCAATCCGAATCTGCCCCGTTGCCATCCTTATCGGTACGCCAAGCGCCCGGTCGTCCGGTGCTAGGACGCGCCAGACGAACCTCAGAAAACAACACCCGCATACAGAAAACAACGCCAGCATGCGTGCGCGCGTCCCCCTGCGGCCTATCTCCTCCACACCCCATCCTGCCACCGTGCTGCCATCTTTGGCGCGCTCCCTCTACAAGCCCCCGCCACACCCTGCCGCGCCCTGCAGCGCCGCGCCCGTTTCACACTACACGCGGGGCCCACACCACCCGAGTGACAAGACGGGAAGGGCGTGCGGCGCCATGATTCGGAAGGACCCGGCCACGGCGTCATATGGATGCCTTGCCGGCTCTGGGAGAGACGATGCAGCAGAAGGTGGGAGGAGGAGAGATGCAACACCCGAGGAAGGCAGTTGAAACTTTTGAAACATGCTTTTAAAACACTGGAAAAAAACACCTGAAACACACTTGAAAACCATTGCAACCATACGCAGCATCCAAATAAAACACATGCAACAATTATGTGAAACATCCAGATAACATCAATTATAACATAACACAATTATAACATGCATCTCTAACAAACACTCGAAACACAGAACATATGCAACATCCATATGATTCAACATACCTAAATGTCTCAATCAATTGAAACATCAATTGCAACATAGGGGGAGAGAGCTTGGCGCTGGGAGTGGCATGGCACACTCTCCCAATGGGGAGGATACTGTTGCAACATGCCTGTGGGGGAGGAGGATGCCGGAATAATGGGTGCAAGGAGTGGGGTGGGGGAGGATATGCAACATCCATATGAGGGACTCAACATGCAACATAGGCACGCGAGCTGGATGGGGAGCTACGACGTGGGATGGGGTGTGCGGCGCGGTAGAGCCTTGCGTCATGAAAAAAAGCGTCCACGGGAATTGTTGTGGGAATGAATTGCAACATAGGGGGGCCGAGAGAGATGAGTGGAGGAGGACACACCGACACCGTAGCGAATCGTTATCTGCCGCGTCTGGAACATCGGATGTTCGAGTCATAGCATTATCGTTTGATTATATATAATTTTTAAGGCTGATGGTCTCAATATACTAAACTCTTGGAGACAAAGAATTACAAAGGGTGTAAACATTACAAAAAGCTTACAAATATATAAAAACAAATGTGTGTGAAAATGAAATCTTGTAAACAACCTTTTATAATTTTTACTAGAGATGGGGAGACAAGCTAGCTATATCCCTCCACAAATTTTCAGTGACAGACTCAATTTAAATTAAAAAAAAAAGTCAAAATGACTATCTTAATACTACTAATTGGACGTCTCCAATGGAGCCTCCATGCACATGGAAAAAGGTAAGTCCTAGAACTTCTCACAAGAATCATAAACATCTTATCTTTAATTTGGTGACTCAAATCATCATCACAAATGCACATCATGCCTTTAATTTGTTGACTCAAATACCAATAATAGACACAGGATCTACTATCTTTTCTAAAAACTTATCCATTTTTGCTATTATGAAACATACATCAAGTAACAATCCATTCCCATGGAAATTGGAGGGGAATGAATTAATGCTCCCCTTAATCCCATCCAATCCCCATGGGAATGATTGATCCAAATTGACCCTAGGGTGAGAGTAAAACCCCCACTATATCACATCAACACATAAATGGATCATCATTGACCTAATTCAAACTAGGTCAAATGTCACATTCACTCCTCCCTTCAAAGGGCACATGTGCCCTGTCACATGTATGTGCCCCGGCACATGTGCCATGACATACAGCATGAGCGACATGTATGTGTCCCTAACTGATACACATCTATGTCCACGAAGGTTGACTCTGGTGCCATTTGTAAGGCACCAAAGTCTAAACATATTAGATATACTCGGAGTTCAAGATTTCTGCCGAAATTCACCGAAAATCAATGAATTTCGTTTCTACCGGCCAGGTCCGGTAAAAGCCCATGCCGGCCTTGTGTTCTCGGGCTGATTTGAATTTTTTTTTGGCCAAGCAGACTTTATATGGCCCATCTATCTATTCCTGGAAATATAAACAATAGCTGAAGCCCTAATTGTCCCTTGTTTCATTTCTCTCCCCCAAAGACCTTAGCCGCTGCCGCGAGTTGCTCTGATCCCTTTCTCTTGATCTGCTGCTGCTGCTGGCTTTGCTCCAGCGGCTGGTCTCCACACCTGTGCTGTGCGATCTGTGGTGCTGCCGTGCTGGGTGAGGAGGGAGTTGCGCGGAGGTGTACGTGTACTCGAGCGGGTGGTCTTCGTATGATGGCGTCTTCCATCGTCTTGCTCATCTACTCCTCTCTGTGTAGTCTGTCTGGCATGATGTACTTCAGAATTTGAGATTGAATGGAAATCCATTCTTGAATGACAAATGGAAGTCCATTCTTTGATCTGTGTAGTTCTGAAATTTTGACCGATTCTTGTTTAAAAAAAAAATCAGATTTTTAGACAAATTACAGTCAAATTCAAATTCTTGTTTGAAACAATTCAAAATATTTTTGCAGCGGCAAATTGTGAAAATCACTGAAAATCACGAATTTGGTTTCTCTCGGTGGGGTCCGATATTTTTTGAGGAAATGGTACCTTGAATTCAATCTACTCTACATACTAAACTAACCCTCCACCCACCCACACCACACCAACACACAAATAGGTCACTTTTCTCCTAATTCAAACTGTGCTAGATGTCATAAGGTCAAGTCCACCTTGATCTTAAACCTGACCTCCTCACCACCACCTCAGCCTCCGGAAAACACTCCCACCTATAGTGTCTCACAACCGGAGACCGGCTCTTTGCCAAGTGCCAAGTGGATTGCCGAGTGTTTTTTTTCGGCACTCGGCAAAGAGCTTCCGAGTGTTTTTTTGACACTCGGCAAAGAAGCTCTTTGCCGAGTGTTTTTTTGACACTAAGGCAAAGAAAATTTCAAAGCACATTTTGAAGCAGTAAATTAATTCAAATGAAAAAGGTTTCAACTATAAAGTTGTATAACTCATCAAGATGTACAATGTTTGTTTTGATCTTTTCTTCATATGACAAAGTGAAAGTAAATTTGTTCACAAATCTAACATATCTCTCTTATAGTTTATGAAACTACAAGAGAGATATATAAGATTTGTGAACAATGTTGGAACGACCATGTCGGATGAACAGATGACCAAACAACCAAAATAAACTTTGTAGATCTCGAAAAGTTATGAAACTTTGTAATTGACAACTTTTTAATTTGAAATCATCTTGTCATGTAAAACTGTGTTTGAATTTCAAAAATTTAAAATTCGAACTTTTCAAACGATCTCGGATGGAAAAACAACTAAAATAAACTCTGTAGATCTCGAAAAGTTATGAAACATTGTAGTTGGCAACTTTTTGACTTGAAATCATCTTGTCATGCAAAACTACGTTTGAATTTCAAAATTTTGAAATTCAAATTTTGTAAACGACCTCGGATGGAAAAACTTCCTAAACTAAAAGTGTAGATCTCGAAAAGTTATGAAACTTTGTAGTTTACAACATTTTCATTTGAATTCGTTTAGGGCCTCAAACAAGCAATTTACACTCGGTTTAGTATAATATGTGGGAAACCAAAATGGAATCTATACATAAGTGGCAATGTGGTGCAG